AATCGGCGCCAGTCGGCGCTGAATCGGCGCCATCTCATCGATTACCAAGAAGAACGCGACGCGACGCGGCGAACTCTCCTCCTCCTCCTCCTCCTCCTCCTCCTCCTCCTCCTCTCCCTCCTCCTCCTCCCGTCTCTCTCTCCTGCCCCTCCTCTCCTGCCCCTCCTCCCCTCCTCCTCCTCCTCTCCTCCCTCCTCCTCCTCCTCCTCCTCCTGCCCCTCCTCCTCCCCCGCCTCCTCCCCTCCTCGACCTCCTCCTCGACCTCCTCCTCCTCCTCCTCCTCCTCCTCCTGCTCATCTTCCTCTTCCTCCTTCTCCTCCTCTTCCTCCTCCTTCTCATCATCCCTAGGGCGCTCCAAAGACGGAATTATCAGGGCACACGTTGCTGTCCTTGGAGCGCCCTCGCGTCGATTCGCGTCTGGTAATCGATGGGAACCCTGCAGGCTGCCATCGATGACCAGGAGGCTTGAAGGCTCCCATGATTCGCTGCCGACCACCAAAAGGAAACCAAAAACGTGCCCATACCGCTACTCCTCCGACCTCTCCCGGGGTGCGCTCTGACCAGAATTTCGAGCGACGAGGGCCCCCCAAGCAGGCCGAAAAAGGGAACAACGAAGGGGAGGGTAGCGGTATAGGTAGCTTCCCAGACATGCCACGCCCTGATCGTTTCAACGCGCGGTCCCCAGAAGCCCCAACCCTTTCCCTGGGACCGGCTTATCTTCCTGAATCGTTTTCTGACGGTCCCGGGGCCCGGCGAGGGCCCGTGGAGGCCGGAACTTAATTGCCAAAACCAGCCGTCATTCATTTCCGGTATCCTATTTTGTGTTAGACGACGCGAGCAGGTCTGGATTTCCCTCCTCCGACGCCCCACGGCTCCTGCGGGTTGACGTCCTCGCCCCCCGCGGGGCCCAGGCCCGCGAGCCCCTCGCTGCTCACCTCGAACACGCAGGCGGGGGGGCGGCGGCGGCCCCGGCCGCGCGGGGGGAACTCCTCGTCCCGCCCCAGGAGCTCCACCTCTCGGGGGGCACACCGCGCCCCTTTCCATCATATCTTATAAGGCGAGGCCAGGCGCGCTTTTGCAACGCTCACAGCACATACATACATACATACATACATACATACATACATACATACATACATACATACATACATACATATACATACATCCATACATACATACATACATACATACATACATACATACATACATACATACATACATACATACATACATGCATGCATACATACATACATAATACATGCATGCATATACATACATACATACATACATACATACATACATACATACATACATACATACATACATACATACATACATACATACATGCATACATACTTACTTACTTACATACATACATACATACATACACACATACATACATACATATATATATATATATATATTGCACAACGTAGAGGACACTGCATAGTTTGCAGAACATAAATTGCACTACGTATGTCGCCGCGCCATGTGTTCCCGACGCACACAAATCAACAACGCCGACACCACAGCAAACCCACGGAAATGGACGCCCACGGCAAACCCTGCGCCCAGCGCCCCAACCAGACGACGCCCCGGCACCGCGGCAAAGCCACGGCGAACCCACCGCGCCCGAGGCGGAGCTTGCCCTGGTGACCGGCGCGGCGCCCTCCCCAGGGCGGAGGGCTGCCCGTCGGAACGGAACAAACGGCGCGGCGACATCTGGCCGATTGCGGAAGCCCCCTGAATCCAACAAGTGCTGCCATCTCCTGTGGGCGCCTCGTTCATCTCTGCCGGCTTCCGCCTGCGGAGGTAGCTTCGTTTCTCTTCCGCCGCCTTCCGCCGAGGATCTACGTTCAGCATTCGCAACGGTAAGTGGCCGTGCCACTGACGATGATCGCCTTGAAGAGCGCACCTCTGACTCATCATTGCAGTCGATTGCTGGCAATTGGGCTGGGCACGGCGCTCGTTTCGGCAGCACTGCCAAGTACAACCGCCCAGCGGCCGGGAAAAATCTTCGGGCGGCGGGGTGCTCACCACGACCGAGGACGAGGACGTCGAGGACGAAGACGACAAAGACAAGGACGAGGACGCCGACGAGGACGCCGACACCGACGATCCTGAGATCCAGGCGTTGCATTCCTGTTCACACTGAGTATCTCACCCCATTTCAACCCAGGGCAATCGCAGATCGATCCAGCTCAAACAGTGCCGCAGGAGGATGGGGTCTACAGTCAAAGCTGATAGTAGGGATGCACAGATGGATCTAACCCCTCTGGACGCCTACGTCGAGGCGCTTTTCGAGCGGGGCTGGCCACCAAAAGTGGTCGAGGATGAACCGAAAAGGCAAGCACGCAACGGTACCCTTGGGACGGCCACCCGTCCTCATCATTGGGTTCGACTGTGCTGCTCCGGGCGTGATGCTTCGCGATGTCGCAGTTTGCGGCGGCGAGGGAAGGGGGGAAGTGAGAAGGAGAACGCCTTCTCACACGGCGGCGGGACTTCTCAGAAGCCCTCGCGCCTTCCGAGAAGTGTTTGCTGGTGTTCGGGGAAGGCTTGGAAAACCCCTCACAAGGCCAGAGGACCCCCGAAACTTCTGAGGAGGCCTTCTCCTTCTCACTTCCCCCCCTCGTTCGCCGCCGATGTTTCGCGACGTCGCAGTGCGGCGGGCCCCCCCTCGGCATCGAGCGTCCAGCGAGGGATGCGCGTCCCGCCCCTTGCAGTCAAAGCTGCTAGCAAAGATGCGCGATAGGGGTGCAAGGGCCTTGGACGCGCAGGTCGTCGGCGGCGAGCGACGGGGGGGGAAGTGAGGAGAAGGCCCTCTCAGAATAGAAGAAACAAACACACATAGACATAAACTTTCGACGGTCCGCACGGGTTTCTTGGATTTGCGCTGGGCCCCCCTCCCTGGCGCGCGGAGCGCGCCAGGGGCGGCGCCGGAGGCGCCGCCAAGGGGCCCTAGCTCAGGTCCAAGAAATCCGCGCGGAGCTCTTCTTCTTCTTCTTCTTCGACAGAAGGCGGCTGGACTTCTCAGAAGCCCTCGCGCCCTCTAAGATATTTGTGTCGTCGAGCTCGGAAGACTTCTCATAAGGCCGGGGGACTTCCCAGCCTTCTGAGAAGGCCCGCCCCTTCTCATTTCCCCTTGGTCTCGCTGCCAGAGGATGCGCTATAAGGATGCGAGGGCCTTGGACGTGCATGCCCGAGGCAAGGATGCAAGGATAACCTTTGAAAGTAGCTCAGCCTTACTATCGGTTTCGACTGTGCACCGCCCCTCACGCAGGAAGGGACAGACGTCCAGCGGCTCGAAAAAATCGAGACGGGCGGCCGGTTGGTCTGGCCCTCTGGGGGCCAGCTTCGAGACAAGGGACCGCCAAACAGCTACTCAGGACGACTGGCCCAGGGGAAAGGGTCGATAGGTCGGGGGGTCCATGCCTCGAAAATATCGCGCCGCTGGGTCTCTTGGTCTCCGCGCAGGTAAACGTACGCTAGAGGAGCGCCTCAACATCAGGGTGAGGGTGCCCGAGCGGCGTAAGTTCGCCACTGCGCATGCGTGGCCGTTGCGAGACGGTAACCCAGCGGCGAGGGGTCCTGGGCGAAGGGTCTCGCTCTGCTTCCTCTCCCTCTCTCCCTCCCTCTCCGACGTGCGCGACTCGCACCCCACGCGGGCGCTCGCTGCACGGCGCGTGGCGCCGTGGCCGCCTGCCGTGTCAACCTGTTCAGTCGTGAGCCTCTGACCAGCCACACGCCAGGAGCACCGCGGGCTCCTGCTTCGAGGATGGACTGACCCGCGTCAACCCAGACCCGGGTCAGTCAGGCCCTGCAGGATCCTGCAAGATACTGTAAGATCCTGCGCCCAAGCCCGGGTTAGTGCGCCCCTGGCTCTGCAGGATCTTGCAAGGTCCAGCGCGCTGACTGACCCCTCTTTGCATTGACCCACCCCGACTGCCTGTAAATGCTCGGATCCCAGCCTAAGGTGGAGCGGAGTCGCGCGCGGCGCTTGTAGCTGGGGCGGCAGACAGACCTCGGTCCGAACTGGTATCTCTCTCTCTCTCTCGAGCGCGCACCCTTGTTCTCATCCGCAATTGCGGCAGGTAAAGTCCTACCAGCCCTGGGCTTGGGTGGATTAGCGACTTCGGTCTTCCGATATCCTTCTTCCCATTCGGGAAGGGTTTTACCACTCCCCCACCCCCTTTCCTGGGTATGGACCCCTTCCCCCACGGGGGATTAGGGCTTTCAAGATAGCCCAAAATGCATCCAAGAAGCGTCAAGGCAGCCGCCACAAGACCGATCCAGCAAGGACGCCGCCGAGAAGCACAAACATTTCAGCCCCATAACCGATAGATATGTTTGCCAACTCGCCTTTCCACTTTCGATAGGCTTCTGAGGCCTCAAAATGGCTGCAAGATCGGTCCAAGAGAGCCCCAGGAGGGGCCCAGCAGTGCTCCAAGATGGCCCCCAAGAGCGCCCAAAGAGCGTCCCAAAGAGGCCCGAAGAGCGCCCCAAGAGGCGACTGGTCGGGTTCCGACGTGGGGGGGGTCGTGATAATCGCAGCCTCCGTTTTTGATCGATGCTCTCCCAGATGGTCACAATTGAAGGGGCTTAGGGATACACGAAGAAATGCACACAAATCCCAGGACTCCCCGTGTTTTTTTCTAATTGTTTTGAATTATCGTCTCCACCCCTTCCCATATTTTCCCATCTTTTCCTCCTGTGCGATGAATTGTGTCTGTGCGTTTTTTTTCTGAACGAGAGGGCACCCCCTTGGCGGACGTTGCCGGCGGTATGCGTGTCGCAGGCGTTGCCCGAGTCGGCTAGGAAAGGCGAGGAGCGAGCACTGACAAGCAGGCGAAATACAAAAGCACACCCTCCCCCCTCCTCCTCCTCCTCCTCCTCCTCCTCCTCCTCCTCTTTCATCATTCTACCCAATTCGATCATCTCATCATCATCATCATCATCATCATCATCATCATCATCATCATCATCATCTCATCCATCAATCA